GGGAATTCAGGGAAGCTGGACTCAGAGCTGCCTCCAAAGTCCAAAGCCCAGAGCCCTCTGCCCTGTGATGGACCCAACCTTGGGGTCCTGTGGACTCTCTGTTCATCTCTTCTAAGCATGCAGCTTGCTGTTCACATGAGCCCAATCTCCCCATTCTGTGCCACTCTGGACACTAAGGTGACATTGACCTTTCTCTGCCTTCCAGCTCGGAAAGCACACGCTCCTATCGGCGGGGGGCTCGAAGCCTGGAAGATGGGCCCTCCGTCCGACAGCCTCTGTCCAGAAAGAACATGCCGGTAGGAGCCAGAGGCTGTGATTTGAGGGGCAGGGGCAGGATGTGGAGGTGTCAAAGATGGGCAGATGGGTGTAGCAGGCTGGGGACTTCTCCCTAAGACAGGCGCATTGATTATCTGTGCTGGGAGTGGGGAGGGAAGGGGCAGCAGCTGCCCCTCTCTGAAGAGTCATCTTCAGTCTGAAAGTCAAGCACCAGGTCCACATCTGCGTCCACATCCTGCTTCTGCTGTTACCTCGAAAGCCGTGTATCCATCACCAGGCTTGTGGCATGTGTGATACAGCTAGAGCTCAAACTTCAAAACTGAGGAAACCTGGGATAAGTGCCTTGCCCCTTTAAGCCTTGCCTCTTTAGAGCACCATCTGTAGAACGGGAATAAATTGAGTCTGTCCCATGATGGGATAGAAATGAATTGAGTAGTTTGTAATAGGTGCTTAGCAAATGTTGATTTCATCTTTGTCTCCCTAGGTTGGCTTCACTGAAGGAGATGGCTCAAAAACTGGTGTCCTTCCAGCAAGTTCTTTGTAGTTTTTGCAAGATTTGCTCCTTGTTGACCCCTGCATGGCCCATGCTGGGACCTGAGCCCACAGAACTGGGAACTGAGGATCCATTCCCTTGGGTCTAGTGTTCTCTGTCCTTCATGGCCTTCTTTCTGTTGTGGAAGGGGCCATGCCCCTGCCAAGGACACTGGGTCTCTATGTTGGGTTCATCTCCTCCATCTCATGGTGCTCCAACACTGGGCAGCCTTGAACCCGGATCTGAGCCTTAAGCTGGGTTCAGCTACAGAACCCTCAGTCCCTCATCAGGGCAGGATGGTGATTCTCCCTCAGTCAGGGGCTGCAGTAGGACAGGCCCTCCTGCCTCATTCTCTTGCAGGCTGGAGACTGTCTGGGCCTCTTCTTGATCTAGCAGTCCTTTACTGAGTTCCAGCGCTGTCCAGGCCTGCACTAGGCACTGTGGATGCCATATACATCAGACGAGGGTCCTGCAGGGATAGTCCCTTGCTGGGAGGCTGGTGTCAAGGTCTGGCATAAGAACATGCAGAACCTTATTTTGGAAGATAGCTCTGGGCTCAGGGGCAGGACCTACATACTCACTAGTTCCTGTCTGACCATTATTAGTTGTGTGCAGCCCAGTTTTGTTCCAGTTGGCCAATGCCTATTCTGTACTGGCTATGTAATAAACATTTGAAACACCTGGTTTTTTTTTTTTTTTTTTTTTTTTTTGGCAGAACTGGGGATTGAACTCAGGCCCTTATGCTTGCCAGGGAAGCTTTTATCCTACTGAGCCATCTCCCCAGCCCCCGGAACACCTGTTATTTGCAGGGCAGTGCAGCCCTCCCTGGGGTCTGGGCTCAGGAACCCCCCACTCCAATCAGGAAGTACAGCCTGACTCACCCCCATTTCCCTGTCTCCCTGAGGAAGGAGGAACACCAGGAAGGATCTGGGTTATGGATCCTCACTTCTCTTTCTCTTGGTCAATTCAGGGGCCTTCCAGTCTGGGGGTGTCAGAAGCTACAAAAGGAGAGAGGAAAGTGACAGAGCAGAAACTTTTAAGATTCTGCTACCCGGGTCAGGAATTCCCCCAGAGCTCAGCCCTGATTAGGGGGCAGGCGCTCCCTAGCCATCAGCAACCACTAATGTCCCTACTCTACAGCTGCTGGGTGCTGGGCTGGGCTAGGCCCAGCAGGGTACCATAGGGCATCAGGGCCAGTGGAGCAGTGTGGCCAGGAGCCTGAACTGCTCATCCTGGAGGCTTACTGGCCTGTGGTCACTTGGGAACCAGATTGCCCTCAGTATCTGGTTTCATTCATCTCAAACTTGTTATTTCACTCATCTGTAATAATTTCTTGGGGTAAATTCCACTGGTTTTGTCTATGGGATCTGAAGTATAAGGGAGAAAGGAAAGGAATCTTGTGGCCTGGAATTCTTTCTCTGAACTTGGCAAGACAGTCTGGTATGGAGCAGTGGTTGTGGTACGACCAGGAACAATTTTGCCCTGGGGGACATTTGGCACAAGGGAAAATAGTTTGCAACTGGAGGTTGCTGCTGGCCTCTAGTGGATGAAGGCCAGGATGCTGCTGGATGTCCTGTTTGACCCCATGTCTCAGTTTTGTGTTGCTGCAACGAAATGTACTTTTTTTTTTTTTTATTTTTTTTATTTATTTGAGAGAGAGAGAGAGAGAGAGAGAGAGAGAGAGAGAGAGAGTGTGGTGTGTGTGTGTGGCCAGCTCAGCCCACCAGGGGGCGGGGCTGGCTGGCATGTGGTGCTGGGGGATTGAACCGCGGTCCCTGATGCTTTGCCAAGCTAGTTCCAAGTAGGTGCTTTAGACCACTGAGCCATCTCTCCAGCCCCACGAAATGTACTTTAAAGAGGTTTTCTTGGCTGATAACTCTGCTGTCATGCGCTGCCCCTGCTGGTGGAGGATCCAAACAGCATATGGCCCCAGCCCTGCCGGCATCCTGGCCTGGGTTCCTCTGCATCACAGCATGACAGAAACAGAACCAGCGGATGCAGGAGGACAAGGGGGCCTTGCTCTCCAACAGCCTATTCTCGCCAGAACTGACGCACTCTGGGAGGCCAGTATTAGCCCCTTCCAATGTGGTGCCTCTCCTTGACGTAATTACCTTTCATTAAGCCCCCCTCCTTAAAATTCCCACCACCTCTCAATACTGGCAACCAAGTTTCCTGCACAGGAAGCTCTGGGGGGACACATTGAAAACCACGGCCACAGTTCGGCCCCATGACAATAAATTATCCAGTTCAAAATGTGAACAGCACTGAGGTCGTGGAGGAAAGAACGCTGGACTAGATGCTTGGAGACCTGGTGTGTTTGGCTTGGCCATGGTTCCTGCCACGGTCTCTGTTGACTGCTGTCGAGATAAGGATTTGACCTAGGACAAGTAAGTTTATTTGTGGGAGGATCCCAGGAAGTATGGTGAGGGCATAAAGAAAGGAAGCAGAAGGTAAAAGCAGTAAAGGGCGCGTTAATGTGGGGTGACCATGGCAGGCAACAAGGGCACGAGCTTGTTGACCACCTTAATCTCCATATTGCCCCACCAAGATGAAAGAAATGGGGTACTTACCCCCAAGTCCCATCTCTTGTTAATTAGCTCTTTCTGGGCATTAATTTCTGGCAAGCTCATAAAAAGCTATGGGAAACCACCAGAGTTGTGTCCAGGAACTGTTTGCAGGTGACCTCTGAGGTGGGCAGATAGGTGGAGGGACTATAGTGGGTACGAATGGTGTCACAAAAGTCCAGAACTGCCTGTCTACAACCCACCCACCCACTGAGGGGGTCACACCCTCTTTGGTCTCCGATCTTCCTGTTTGTGTGATGAAAGGGTAAGACGTGGTATTTTCTTAGCTTCTTCTAGCTCCAATGAGGGAGGAGTCAACTGCTTTCATGACTGGATGGGAGGAAGATTTGCATGCTAAGCGAGTGCTGTACCACAAAGCCTGTTTTCTTTTGTTCCTCTCTGGATACTCAGGGCCAGAACCCCTGGCACAAAGTAGGTGCTCAATAAACGTATGTCAAATGAATGAATTTTTCTTCTTCTGCCACAAACTTTTTTCTAAACTACTTTGCATGTAGGTCTAATACATGGCCTTTCTTGAGAGGGGATATTTCCCACTGCGCAAGCTGTACCTCTGCACCCCGAGTTCAGTGGCTGACCCTGTTAAGGTTTCCTTCGCCCCGCTTGTTGAGACTAGGTCTGTCTTGCTCATATGTTTGTTGAGTGAATGAAATGAATGTCCTACCTTGACCCCCATCACAAAAGCAGCAGTTGGAAACCAGACTGTGCCTGTGACCCATGCTGGGTTAGGGTTCTCTGAGAAAGTTTTAACCAGACACCCCACACCACAGCTCCCCAGTCTGCACCCTCTGTGGGCCACTTTTCCTGCCTCCCTTCCAGGACCCAGACCCTACTCCTAAGAAGGTCACTGTCTGCCCACTAAACTTGTTAGGGAAGAGAGTCAGGGGTGCTGGGGCACTGGGAAGGCCTCTCTGCAGTACAGCAGGACTGTGCCCAGCTGGAAAGGTGGGCACAATTTATTTTTCCTCCCCTCCAACCAATATTACCCCACCAAACCTAACCTTACTGCGGGGCACCAGTCTGACCCTGCGTAAATATGAGGTACCTATGCGCACCTCATAGTATTTCTCACCTAGGTGCACTTAAGAATCCCAGCCCTTCACCACTCTGAGATTCAGCCCTGAGACCGGTGGCACCCTGCAGTTAGAGGCCGGCATCCTCACGTCGCAAGTCTACAGACCAGCACAGCTGCTTGCATGAGCTTGCAAAGGCCGCAGGCACGAAGGAGTGAGCCTAACTTAGCGCAGAACTGGAAGCAACCATGAGCGCCAAGCGTGGTTCTAGCATACCAAGCTGTCTCCACTTGGGCACAGGCACGCAGTGGGACCTTCCCGCTGCGAGCGGCAACAACATTCAGAACTCCTGTGGGCCATGAATGCCACCTGTGGCCAGAGACATGGGCCTCCTCGTTCGCCTGAGACCCCCTCCTCAAATCTTCCTCCTGCTCCTGACTTCCCTGGAACGGTCCCCCCAATTCCTCTCCACAGAGGCCTGACAGGCAGCCAGCCCGGGCAGTCTTGGCCTGGCGGAGTCCTTGAAGTCTATATTTAGGGCTCGCCACCCCTCCCAGCCCCGAGGTTGAGAGGCGGGCAGGGGGAGGGGAGCGCCCCGCCCCCGGCGGGTGTGTGGGTGGGTGTGTGTGTTGTGTCTGAGGTTCGCGCGGTTGCTCGCCCTTCACCTTGCTGCACCCAGGCTCGGCTGCTGCCCTGCGCCCCTCGCCCCGCCGGGCGTCGGGCGTCGCGGGCCAACATGGGTCAGGAAGAGGAGCTGCGGAAGAGCGCCCGAAAGCTGGAGAAGATGGTGGCCAGGAAGAACACGGTGAGGCCGCGGAGTTCGGACCGAGGCCCACGCCCCCGGGAGACGTGGGGGCGCCCTGGAGCACGTGCGGGGCTCAGGCACCAGCGGGAAGCTCGCGGGTGCGGGACACAGGGCCGCGGGGGGGGACACTGGCCGGGCACCTCGGGGTGGACGTGTGCACAGCTCAGGGCGCCCCGGCGGCCGGGGTGGGGTGGAGGGTGGTTGCAGGCCCCTCTGGGTGGTAGTGTTCAACCCTGCTCAGCCTGTGCTGGGCCTTGGACAAGCGGACGAGGAGACTTGAATCTAGGGAAGGACTTTCGAAGTCCCGGGACTCACAGCGTGTGCAAACCCGAAGTAGGCAGGGACTGGAGGGGCAAATCCTGGGTGTCCCGAGAAGGAGCAGGGAAGAGCGGGACAAGGGGTGCAGGGCCTCGCCTCTTCCGCGCGGGGGAGAGGCTCTGCGGGAAAGGAGCAAAGGAGCAGCGGACCCCGCGGCGCAGTTCTGTTGACAACTATTTTGTTGGCGGCCGAGTGGGGCCGGGGCGGGCGCGGCCCAACAGGTGCGGGCCTGGGGGGGGGCGATGAGGCCCGCGGGAGGCCTGGGCCCCGGGGCTGGGGGAGGTGCACGGCAGAGCCCACTGCTCTACCCCAGGGTCCCCAGGCTGCAGTCTCAGCAGGAAGCGCTCAGCGCAGGCCTAAGGAAAGTTAATGTTTGATTTTTCCCTTCCTTGATTTTTCCATCGGGCTATAATCTTAGGGTCTCTGGCTCAAGCAAACTTAGCCACGGGCCCCCAAGCCTGCAGTCTGATCCAGGGGTGGGGAGTGGGGGGAGAGGACCCTGGTGGACGTGCCTTTCTCCTTGACCTGCCCGGAGTCCTCTTCTGCCCACTGCCCATATCTAGGTGCTGTGTCAGGATTTGTAATTCCAGTATGTTAAGGCTTGTATCTAAATGTCACCCAGGGCTGGTGAGATGGCTCAGTGGTCTAAAGCACCTACTTAGAACAAGCTTAGCAAAGCACAGGGACCGCGGTTCAATCCCCCAGCACCACATGCCAGCCAGCCCCGCCCCCTGGTGGGCTGAGCTGGCCACACACACACACACACACACACACACACACACACATATAAATAAATAAAATTTAAAAAAAAAAAGATTTAAATGTCACCCAAAGCCTCCTTTGGTCATAGATGAGGCTTTACCAGAGGTGGCCAAATCTAGAGTGTGTGGTGGTGGGTTTAAGGGTGGGTGATTATTAATCAGTCCATTGATTGGTTTGGCACTACCCTAATCCCGGTACCCTGGATACAATACAAGAGACAGAAAGAGGCCTGTCCTATCCCATGCTAGCTTTGCTACCTTCTGCCCTCATGAGCTGTTTCTTCCCTACCATGCCACCCTGCCCTGGAGCCAGCCAACTATGAACTTAAACCCTCTGCAAACTGTGAGCCAAATAAACCTCTCCTCCCTTAACTTTGGGTGCCCCGTATTTTGTCTCAGCAAAGGAAAAGTATCTAAGGCACAGTACATTCAATAATCTTAGGAGCTTGGGAAAGGGAGGGACACTGTGGGGGGTTCTAGAACTGACAGGAATGATGAAGGCCAGAGGAAGGGGTGCATGGAACTGTGGTGTGTCGGGATCTCTAGACACTGGACAGCAGTAGATGAGTTCATACCAAGGCCAGAGCCTCAGTTTCTCCACTTTTGAGAAGACAGGGGGGCACTCTGCAGGCAGCCGGGAGAAGTTGGATTTCGCAGAACTTCTATGGGCTTAACTAGTGCCTAGTAAGAGCCAGTGAATGAGACCTGGCTCTGCACACACCTGTGAAACGGGAAGGCGCGGCGCCCACCTGAGACTGCGAGGAGCTTCTCCCCTTACATCTCAGTCACTATCCCTCCCCATGCACAGGTTCCAGGCTGCTCCAGATTCCTTAAATTGAACCGCAAACCGTGGGGAACACTTTCCCACCAGTGTCCTGAGTAGAACCCCATCGCAGGGAGTCAGATTGTCTCAGGCCAGTGCTTTGCTGATCTCCAACTCCACCCCAGGGTCTCTAGATGGGGTGAGAGAAGCTCAGGAGACCTGGAATAAGGCTTTGGGTTGAGGTGGAGCTCTGGCCAAAGAGGAAGGAGCTGCTGGAGCTGCCTCCTCACTCCTTTTGCAGCCTTAGCCAAGCCACTTTGCCTTCCTTCTTTGGGCCTCTTTTCCTCTTCTGTGAAATGGGCAGAGAGAACAATATCCGTGTTGATGGGTTCCCAAGGAAGCACCCAGAGCTGTCTCCAGGAGAAGCTGCAAGGCTGTTCGTAGGGTACCCGCTGCACAGAGCCAACCTGTGCGCAGCCACGTCTGCGCCTGGACTCTTGGCAGCATCTGGGTGGGCACAGAGCTCCAGGCGTCTGGACAAGGAAGGTGGAGCTGCTCTAGAGTGAAAGTGGGCCTGCCTAGTGGGGTAGCAAAAGACTTACTTCCTGTAGTGAGACAGCTCCCCCACATTGCAGCTCAGGGCGGGCTGTTCTGCCAGTCCTGGCGTCCCAGCAACTGAGGCCTTTGTCAGGATCCATGAGCGTGCACCACCTGAAGCAGTTCCCAACAGACAACTAGGCACCAGCAGTCACAGCCACACATACATACACATGGTAACACTGATAGGCATGGTCATGCACATACAGCCATGTAAATACTAAACAATTGCGTGTGAGACACAGCTGCTTAGGCTGGCGTGACAGCCAGGCTCCATGTGACATGCACTGACCATGGTAGGTACAGAAAGATACACAAAGGCGACCACACACATGTACACACAACACAGCCACACCCAGACATGCAAAGGTACAACCTGAGCAAATAGACACGTTTACCCACCCAGACATAATGCTGGCAACATCCCACAGGGACAAATAGATACAGTAGGACCTTGGCTGCAGACGGACAGCTCCGCACCTGGAGCAGTTTCTGCCGGCCACACACCCACAGAGATGCGCCCAGCAACATTTGCACACGACCTTCTTTTTTATTTTTTAATGTAATTGGTACAGGGTCTCACTACACAGATCAAACTCAGAGTGATCTTCTTGTCTTCAACCTCCCAAGCGCTGGGAGTACAGGTGTGCCACCACACCCAGTCTCAATCACCAGCTCAGCGCACCCCTGGGGCAGAGCTGGCACTGCATGCTGGGGATCAAGCCCCGGTCTGTGTGTCTGCCTAAGCAGAGACGCTTTAATCCAGCCTGCGCACGGCCTTCTGAACCTAGCCACAACCCAGGCTGGTGGGCTCTTTCTCCCCAGTATGACCGTGTTATGCAAAGATACACACTCATGGGCTGGTGAGATGGCTCAGTGGTCTAAAGCACCTACTTAGAACAAGTTGAGCAAAGCACAGGGACCGCGGTTCAATCCCCAGCACCACATGCCAGTCAGCCCCGCCCCCTGGTGGGCTGAGCTGGCCACACACACACACACACACACACACATAAAAAAATAAAAAAAAAAAAAAAAAAAAAAAAAGATACACACTCATTAGTGAGTTGGAAATGGCTTTACGCTGTTGAATTTTCAGGAGTTTTGCAAGTTGCTTGTTAAGCACAGCCATTACAAAAACTTAAATTATCTGCTAATTACATAAAAAAGTAATGAATATTCCAAAATCATCATCTCCTAATTATTTTTGTTATATTTTACTATCGGCTGTGCTCTGGAGCTCATTTACTTCTATCGAATCTAGGGGTGGGTGGAAGTACTGTATGATGACGTGGCACCGCACTGCCCTTTCCAGTACCTCTTTCAGTTCGATCACAGCACATGGCTAACTGGATATTGGCCATGACAAGAGTATTTACATCACAGGGGCCGGCAAGATAGCTCAGCAGACTAAAGCACCTGCTTGGGCGAGCTTGGGCAAGCACAGGGACTTAGTTTTGATCCCCAGCGCCACATGCAGCTCTGGCCCCGCCCCCATGGCAGGCTGAGCCAGCCAGTCTGGGCGTAGTGGCCCATGCTTGTAATCCCAGAGCTGGGCACGCTGAAAGCAGGAATCCGAGCTACATAGTGAGACCCTGCAACAACCAAATACATTAAAAAAAAAAAAAAAAGAGTATATTACAGACACTGGAAAATACCCGTGAGGTGTCTTTTCCTTAAGAACTGACTGTCAAATAGAGACCAAGCACATGACCACAGTGGTCCCTGCTTCTATTTAGCTCTTCCAAAGTGCACAGCCTTAGGTAAATTATTTATTTATTTATTTATTTATTTATTTATATTTTTGCGGAACCGGGGATTGAACTCAGGGCCTTGGGCTTGCCAGGCAAGCGCTTATTCCACTGAGCCATCTCCCTGGCCCCTAGGCAAATTATTTAACCTGTTTCCTAGAAGCTTTTTTTCTGTAAAAATAGAATAACTCTGTAAAAATGGGGATGGGGAATAGTTCCTAACTTGGAGTTGTGATGTTTAGAGTGTTCCACATGTAGTACATAATAGTAAGTATTTAGTCTCTCTCCAAAAAAAAAAAATAAATAAATAAGTAAAAAAAATAAATAAATA